CCTCAGTGGGATTTCCTAACAGAGGGAAAGGGCTGTGTCCAACAATCCGAGATCCTCCTGCTGCCCAAGTCAAGGGAACACACGCCAGGACTTGCTGAGCCCAGCGCACCTGATCTTAGCAGGTACGGCAAACAGCAGGCTTCACGTCCAACCCCATTCTTCCTGGTTCATGTAATATTTTATAGCAATAAAAAGCAAAATGCATGGTTTTACCTTAAATGATAGCAACCCCGTACTTTCCAAGTCAAATTTTAAAAAGATCACACTAGTAATTTATTAGCCTTGTTGTTTCAAAGCTGCAAATCACAACCTTCAAGTAAGATGCGAGTCACGCCTGCAGCTGTCTCCACTCCCCACCCCATAAACCTCAGACAGCAGGCCCATGAGCACGATACTGCACTGTCCATACAGTAGGGGCTAGACGGGGCCCAGGCTGGCCCTGACCACACACCACCCCTGCACCCATCTCAGGCAAGAAGGGGTCCACTGGGGGAAGCTGTCAGAAACAACAAGGGAGAACAGGACACAGCCCTGAATGGTGAGCACTCTGGCCTGGTTCTCACCCTCAGGGTAGGGATCTGAGTGCCAGGCCATGCCGCTCCCACTGTGCTGCCTGGGGTGCTCGCTGCACCTGCCCGCCTGGAAAGCCCCTGGCGCAAGGGCCACCACCTCTGCTTGTGCTGACGTCAACACCAGCTCAGTTACAAGAGTTTCAGGTGAGGAAACTGATGGGTGGCGTCGGCCTGTGCATCGCTGGAGAAGTTGGTCCTGCCCTGCCAGCGGCTCGGTCACTGTGCCCAGCCAAGGGGCATCTTGGCAACATATGCCATGCTGCGCAGCCCTGCCGTCAGCACCGCATTCTCCTCAACCCCGTGTGGCTGCGCCATCATCATCTCTGTGCACAGGGCTCAGGAAACACGGTTTCCAACTCCGACATAATTTGCAACATGCACAAATGAACCTACGCAGCTCCCTTCTGCTATTCCTGACACACAGGACCAGCACCTACGCAACACAGAAAGAGGGGAGGACCCGCACCCATATGCAGAGAGAGGGGCTAGCTCGTCCAAATTTCTTTAGCAAAAAACTAGGAGCCAATGGGGAAGGTGAGCAACTAACCCAGGGAGGAGCCCTCCCAACAGCCAGGTCATTGGGGGTCATGTGTGCCCCACACCTCTCCTCCTGCCCCGAGCACCCTCCCTGAACCCTCCTCACTATCCCCCTGGCTTGTGAGCAGATACTTCTATTTCATGGAGCTGTGTTTTGATGTCACTTGTGAACTTATGCAAGGCACACTGAAGAGTTTGTGAAAGCTGTCAAATACCAAGATTTTATCAACTGACAGAACTAATGGGCTTGAAAGCCAACAATTAAGGTGGCCATTTACTATGAGCCAAGGGAAGCAGATCTCGGGGCACGCCCCGACCGATACTCGCGGGAGAGCACAGCGCTCCTGGGGCGGGAGGTTCCCCTGCAGCACCCTCACACTGACCGGGCCAGGTGAGTCACCTACCCCGCCCTCCCGCCCCCATGGAACGCCAGGAGTCTGGATGGACGGGAAGGGTGGAACAGAACACAGGCTGAGAACCTGTCTGACCGGCCTGAAGATGGCTGGGCGGGCTCCTGGGCACCGATCATGAGCCAGGTTGCAGGTAATGGGACAAGAGGCCAGAGCTGTCTCAAACTCCCAGCGTAGCTGGTACTTCACCTCACTTCTGGTAAAGAAGTCAGAGAGGACATGTGTGAGAGCAGCGTGCCTGGTGATAGCACCTCATGAAATAAAACACATCTATACATGTTCATGGGACCTCTGGTAGCACAATGCCTAAGGCACTTGACTGCTAACCAGAAGGCCGGCGGTTCAAACCCACCAGCCACTCCTCGGAAGGAAGACGGGGCAATCTACTTCTGTAGAGATACTGCCTCAGAAACCCAAGGAGGGGGCGCGCTATGAGTCGGGTCCAACTCAACGGCACATAACAAAAACAACAACATACATGTTCACTAGCTAGCCACACCACCACATCCAGAAGGTGAGACCCAGGGCCCAGGCCCAGCACACGCTTAGGACGTCATCCTGGTCTAGTGCACTCAGACGGGGCCAGCTGTCCACAGACCCGAGTCCTTCTCCAGAGTCCTGGGCATGCCATTGTCATTACTGAACATGTCTCACTCAGGCTGGTTCATCCAAAGGGTCACTCATCCCCACAAACCATGCTGGCCCAGGCCTCCCACGTACCACACCAAAGTCACAAAGTCCATCCACAACCCCTGGCAGGCCCTGTTGCGCCTTGGCCACCACAGCACTTACAACACCACGGCTCACAGCCTCAGAGCCACTTCACAAATAGGTGTGCTCCAAAGGTGCACCCCCTGAGTGGTGGGGATGCAGGGTGCTGGAGGGCCTGCTGCACACCTGCTGAGTGGAGCAAACGCCCACATTTCTCAGCACCAGGGCACTACACCCCACTCTTGCTGTCATACACACCCCAGAGAAGGAGTTTTACTGGACGCACGAGAGTGCCTCCACGACAGCTCGCTTTTCAGACAAACAGGATACTGTGCAGGTCATGGCAGTCTTCAAAGACAGTCATGCTGGCCAGGAGGCCTCTAGGCCCAGGCCATGCTGGGCTGGGTCTGGTGCATAGTAGCCACAGGCTGTAAAGAGCCATAGGCTGATAAAATCACTGTAGAGAGAAGGCTGCAAGGGTGAGCTCTTGAAGTTACAAATGCAGTTAACTACATGCCTGTGGCTGAGAGCTCCATCGTCAGGGCAGACCCAGGACCAGAGTGTGTTCCGTCACATGACTTGTCTCCCTGACCACGGACAGAGCTGGGGGCCTCTATGGACCAGGCTGCTCTGCCCGCATCCTTTCTTCAGATGTGTACCACGCTCAACCCACAATGTGTGGGCAGTGGCCAGAGGTGCCCCCAGGCCCACAACACTGAAGGCAGCAGGTTCTGCAGCACCTGGCCAACCCTCTGCCATCCTCGGCCTAGGCCCCACTTCAAGCCCCACTAGAAAGCTCGTGGGAAAGAAGAGGTCCAAATCTCAGGAAAATGTGCAGCTCTCAGACAAAATACCAAGCTGATAGATGAGTCTTTCGGGGTTGATTTTGCTGTGAAATGATGGTGAGTGCCCGAGGCAGATCTGGCCCCAGCAGCCGTGCGCCTGACAAAGAGCCCTTCTCTGCTGGGGACAGACTCAGGGGCCACTGGCTGTGCCCATGGCTACAGGGCACTCACAGGACAGTCTCGTCTCACCACCTGTCCTTCATCCCAGTGCCAGAGAAACTGGAACCCTGCCAGCAGCAACCACGCAGAGGACGGCTGTGCAGACCAATCTGAAAATTAGTCTCCCTGTTCTGTAAGGGCTGATATCACAGTCACAGATAATGCTGTTACCTTCTTTTCCTAGCTGCAGAATCAACTTCCAAAAAGTGGCTAGCAGGAAGAGCTTTCCTGAGGCCACATCACACTGGTAGCAAGACAGCTGGTGCCACAAAGTGATAGAGAACAGGTGGTCGTGTAGCAGTGGCCAGGATGGACTCTGACAGGGCCTCCACACAGCTGGCACTGAGCACTGAGGAATGCCAGCACCCACGGTGAGAGCGGCTGCCAAGGACAGGGACTGTGACCCCTTATCTGCAGCATCTCCCACCACTGCGCCCTAGGGCCCTCCTCTTCCTTTGCCACCAGGGACAGGACAGCGAGCAGACAGACATCTCCACAACTTCCTCAGGAGTGCCTTATCCCCTTCAGTGTGAGCTTCACTACGATGGACAGGGATGGCCTCTGCAGATCCACCAATTCCCCAAGACTGACTCCCAGCCCAAGCCCTGAAAGCCCATACTGCCTGAGCCAGATACACTGTCCACCACCCAGAACTGCACATGCACACTCCATGCCCCCAGTGTCACCGAGGGCCCCGAGCCACTGCAGAGTGGTTGTCACTGCCCAGGGCAGAAGGGACTCAGGGGCCTGCTACTTGGCCCCTGGGAGAGCCTGGGTAACTGCCTCTGAGGAGGTGAGGGAGCTCACAGAACAGAGCAACATTCAAAGTCCATCTTCCTCATCCCCTTTCCCAGTAAAAGCAGTCAGGCAGAGTGCATACTGAACTGCCACGCCAATCGAGCGTGAGGGCAGTAAGGGGAGCCTAGCTAGGGAGATGGAAGAACGTGGAACCAGACCGCGGTGATGACCACACAACACAGTGTCATCACCATCACTGCACCAGACACGTAAAAAATGCTGAAACGACCAACGTTTCATCACAAATATTATTATCTCAATAAAAATTAAAATGTTTAAAAACGAATGTAACCATTTTCTGTTATAGGGACACCTGATTATCTCAGGGCCCAGGCAGCCTTACAGCACCCAGCTACCCCCAGCACAGACGGCCCCCCAGCCTCACCAAAAGGGCCCAGATAGGACCCAACTCTCAGAATGGCTCTGGAAGGTCACTCATGCTCCCAGGCTTCGAAGATAAAGTGGACTGGTGACTGTGGTTGTCAGGAACACTCCCGGGCTGCCATGGGAACCAGAAAGTTCAAGGCCAGAGGTGGGCCCCCTCAGCAACAGCAGAAGTCCCTGAAGGCTCCCATCCCAAGAGGATGGGAGGGTCCAGGCTGAAGTCACATAAGTGACCTTTCAGATTTACTCTCGGCAGGACATGCCTGATCTGCCCACTCCATGTTTCCATACCATCCCAAGTCACTCCCAAACCTTTACCTAAGAACGTGCCACCACACACCCACCACAGACTCCATGTCTCTCCCAAACACTCCAGGTTTGAATAGGTTATTGTGAAGAAGGCACGCCAATCACAGAGCAGGAATTTCCTCATGACAGATGACCCTTCTAAAGGATGACTAACTGTTCCTGGGCACAGTGTGGGGAAGGGTCAGGCTGGTTGCTCCCCTCACATATGCCATCAGGGTGACCAGGCCAAGAAGGAGGACAGACATTCCACTAAGCCCTGACAGATGCAGGCTTACCTGGAGATCTCGGCCACAAAGGGCCGTAGCTCTGCCGGCTCATAGGCACGCGCAAAGGCCCAGCACACGTAGCAGGCAGCATCCCTGACATTGGCGCCCACACTGCAGGCACCCCGCTTCTCATCATAGGTCAGTGCCCTCCGGATCACGGCAACAACTGGGTACAAGAGAGAGAGAGAGAGAGGGTGAGGACACGGGTCTGCTACTACGCAGGCAGGGGGTGAGTGTGTCATAGGCATGGCTTTATCTATGTCTGCCATATAAGACACACGCCAACCCAGGGCATCCCAGTGCCCATGGAAGTCATCACCAGACCACAAAGAAAACGCCTGAATGAAAACACAGGTCCAAAAAAAAAAAAAGAAAACACAGGTCCATCAGCTCAAATCAGATGATGAAGTAAAAAAAGGAAAACATATGACCCCAAAATGACATAAAGGGAGTGCTAAAGGGACCGAGGAAAGCACTCCTGTCCCATGGGAAGAGGAAGTGCCACGTGTAACAGGGCTGGTGCAGGCATCACAAAGCACCCCAGAGATGAAGCAGCAGCATCTCAAGACCAGAGGGGCCACCCCAGCGTCCCCAGCGTTATAGCTCAGCCTCTCATCCAGTCCAAAATGCCGTGGTGAGGGGATGCACGTCTGCATGGAAGGGGCAGAGGACTGTCCCCACTCTGCTCCACATGGGGTCTGTAACCAGGAAGACTTCAGAGCTGGGAATCAGATAACAGGAGTGTGCTGAACCACAGGCATTTGCATGAACCTTAGGGACAACCTGTGGATGCTTTAGTCCCAGAAATACCTGGAACAGGAAGGGAATTTGGCACGTTAAAGCTCAAAAAGGATTATCTCTCTGGCTCCATTATAAAATGTGTAACTGGGTAACTGAAAGTTGGACAGGTGATTTCTGATGTGAAGATTAAGAGGATTTTAAGAAACATAGTAAGAGCATCAGAAGGATTAAAGAAATAGAATTTTCCTGTATCCATTTATTAGATTCATGTTTTTCAAGCACTTGGGAAGGTTTTGCTCACTGGAGACGTGTAAATTACATAAGAAATAGAACATATGACATTTATGAATACAGTTTCAAGTATTTGACATAGTCAACTAATTTTACTATGTGACCAAACACCAATGCCAGCAGCGTGTCATGGGGTTGCAGCAGGCAGCCAGTCTTGCGACCACAACTCTTAGCACGAGGCCAGTGCCTCCTGTGGTGCCCAAACCAGCCAGCACTCACCCAGCTTCATGCCAAGGTGGGGGAGGGAAAGTATGACACCCACTGTCCACCTAAGAAACTGTCATCACAGAAACTTCCCTGCAGGAAAATGCACGTAGAAATGGTTTTAGGACACAACGCACAGGAGACAGCAGAGCCAGGGGCCACGCAGACTGGTTGTCCACCTCCAAAGACGTCTGAGTCCACATGGACAGCAAACAGAAAGATGGTGTGGTTCTATATACTTCATTGTATGTGCAAACAGTGATTATCATTAATGATCTTATTAAACGCTTATTTATAAACTTACCTACCAAAAGAAATACCTTCAACTACAAAAAACAGATTTGCCCTAGGACAAAGAGTGAGAGCACCAAGCCACTCACTGCTTTCCCTGGATCAGGGTGAGGGCCTCCAGAACTCACCCTCGCAGGACATGGGCATGGCAGGGTCAGGGACCCCAATGCAACAGGCCTCGGGAAGAAATGGCCAGCTCAGGTACCTTGCTGTAGATCCCAGGTCAACTACACCAACCCCCCCACTTTGCTGCACGTGAGTGATGAGGACCCCCTACATATGCAGCCCCCGCACCACTTCACGTGCAAAGTGGGACCCCGTATGGAGCTCAGCCCCACTCTGTGTACACACTGGGGACCCTGCATGGTGCTCAACCACCAGCCTCGCCCTGTGCGCACACTGGGGCACTACTCAGAAACACCCTCCAACCCTCTCAAACGCCAGTCCCACAGCCAGGTCAACCTCCCAGAGAAACATTCTGGGGAGGGCCCGTCTTCTCAGCCCTGACATCTACTTCCAGCCTGTCCAGCAGGAGCTGCAGCAAGACAGTTGCACCTGCTCACCTCAGATGTCACAGTGCACCTGAGCTGACTCTGCAAGGGTTACCAAAGCAACCAAAGACTGCTGTGGAGTCAGATCTGACTCATAGCGACCCCTTCCTTGGGTTTCCGAGGTGGTATCACTATGGAAGTAGATTGCCTGATCTTCCTTCCGAGGAGCGGCTGGTGGGTTTGGTTAGCAGTCAAATGTCTTAGGCACTACACCACGAGAGTACCTCTGTAAGAGCTAGAGCCCCAGAAACTCAGCAGCTCATCGATGTCACCTCTGTGAGGACTAGAGCCCCAGTGACCTGTGCACCCTGGGAGCCGTCTCCGTGACAGGCTAGAGCCCCAAGGACCTGTGTACCCTGGACACGCCACATCCTGAGCAGAAAGTCTTGCAGTAGACCAGCAACTGCTCCCACCAGCCAGCAGGTAGAAGCTAAGCTCCACTGATCTGAAAGAGGATCGCTCACTCCTGGGTCAAAGTCTACCATCCACCTTCTAAGAATGAAGTCAGCGCTGACACTCATGAGGCGTGTGCATCAATGCTACACCGAGAGGCACCCCCGGCTACCACAGATAAAGCAGATGTAATGAGTGACTTGCAAATGACCATCTCGGATTGAACTAAACCAAATCCACAAAGCTTTACCTGCAATTACTCTCTGTGCTAATGGAAACCCATTCGTGGCACCCCAGATGTCAGCGCTAATGGGCCGTGGCACCTCGAGGAGGAAAGCGTCATGTAAACACAGTGCTGCAGCCACACTGCTGTCCCCAAGCCTGCATGTTAGTGTGGCTGCCCAAGGGAGACCACTCAGCAATTCTGTAACCAGAGGGGATCTGGATGCTGGCTGCAGAGCCCCAATTTACCGGTCCATTGGACAAAATCAGTTTCCAAATAGACAACTAGGAATGACAGCGGTCAGCACAACGAACATCTCCTTCAGGGCGTCTGCGCCCACACTCAGAATCGTTCAGCTGCCAAGGAGATACTGCTACAGAGAGCCAGGGTCCCTCCTCCAAGGCCACTCAACCCCCACGGCCACCTCCACACAGACTCAGAACCCCACACTCAGCTCACCCCCCACGGCCACCTCCACACAGACTCAGAACCCCACACTCAGCTCACCCCCCACGGCC